GGTGACCCTTTTTGCTGGGGCACATACAGAACAAGAAAGGTCCAATTCTGTCCTGAGAACACTGACTCCAAAAGGCAGCACCATGAAGGGCAGCCAAGCACCCAGTCATGAGTGGGAGTGGTGGTACACGCCCTTCCAATGTTTCCACCATAGCTGGAAGGCAGGATGAGGCCAGGGATGTTAGGTGCAATTCCAAGGAAGTCCTGGCAATGGCAATATTTGAGCAGACTGGCATCACCACACACAAATACCTTTAGTTTCTACTCCCAACTCCAGGAAAAGATTGATATCTTTACAAACATTTAACCCTAGCTGAGCTCAGCAAGGAGACGTTCTTGTCTGCTCAGTGCTGAGATGCTGGGAAGAGTAGCACAGGATTCTGCTCACTGTCTGTCACTACTCTGTGGACAATGCAGAAACAGCTCCTCAGACTGAGACAGACTAGAGGCAGCCATCAGAGGCAGCCATCAGTGAAACGTTCTTCATTGCTCTCTTAGTCTGTGGTTCTGCTCTGTCATTAGCTGCTGCAGTTGTTGAAAGCTGCCCAGCAAGTGTTTTCTCCATCTTGTTCAGGCGAAGAGGGGCATGTAGAAGCTCAGCAGCAGAGACCCATGGATCAGTGTCTCCTGTGGTTCCAGAACAGCAACATCCAGACAGCAGCAACTCAACTGCTAGACCCATCAAAAGCAGGCAGCCAGTGGATCTAAGCAGCAACCTCTACCCCCTGAAGACGAAGTACAGATTCCCTGGGCAAAAGGGAAAAAGAAAGGTGCCACCAGGAAAGGTTTTGCTCATGAGAACTATAGCCTCCCCAGAGGAAGCTGAAAAAAAGAGAGAATAAAAATGCAGCCCAGGAAAAGACAGGCAGGCTGGTTATTTCTTTCTGCTCCAGTCGCACAGCAGCATTCACCAATGCACGTACCAATCAAAAGCCCTTGCAGTACTGCACAGCAGCCCAAACTTCGCACACATTTTGTGCTGCCAAGCACATTTGAGCTGCATTTGCAATGGGAGGGGTGGGCTGCCAGTAGCTATCCCAGTACCAACCTCACCGGGCTGCAAAAGCACAGCCCTTAGGGCCTTTGTAAATTTTGTTGTGTGCTCGGAGGTTTAGTGGGGAAAAGAGAGAGACTGTTAAGTCTTTTAATTGGTGGACCCTCGTTTTATCTTTAAATCACAGGCTACCAGCCCAGTATCCAGCCAGCCTCTTCTGCTGAATCCCACCTACCTTGCTGTTACCCTGTTCTTCTGTGACAGTGCGCTGCAGCAGCTACCAGTGCCACCTAGCAGCCCTCACGACACAGCAGGTGCGCATCAGGGCTGAAATCAGGACAGGGGTTCCGTTTTGCACACTCCTGCCCTTCAGAACTGAAGAAGACCATTTTCATCAGAAGAAAACAACACGCACTGGGTTGCATGTTGTATCTCTGTCAGCAGTAAGCTGAGTTGGAGAGGATGTGGCAACATTGATTGGACTGCACACACTAGTGTGAATTAAAAAAGGAGCCTCCTCCACACAGAGAGAGAGTTAAAGAGCACAGTCCGCTCCCGAGAGGTTATTAACTATAAAAATACTCTCATCTGAGAAACTGTTAATGGTGAGCCGTTCCACACGTGCACAATCACTTTCTAAGCAGAGAACAGTCTGGAACAGAGCAAGGGTTGGTAAATGCATAGCCAGGGTCATGACCGGAGCTAGTCATAGGACTAATTGACTGGAATCAGTAATGAGTCTGCTATGGCATCAGCCCATCCAGGCCTCTCTACCTTTGACCATTCATTACTTACTAACAAACACACTCATCAGTCACAGCCTGATGCTCATTTGTAGGCTCTGTTCCTGCCTACAACCTGCAGTACTAGCATGCATTAGACCAAGCACAGCACCAAGTGTCAAGTCCTCAGAGAAGGAGGCTGCAGCAGAAACAAGGCTGGTACTCAGGATCCCAGGGATCTCACAAAGGGACAGAAAGTGAAGTTGCAGACAAGGCAGGCCACATGTGCCCAGAGCAGAGGTCTACGTGAGGGGGGAAAAAAAAAAAAAAAAAAAAATCAAGGCAACATAACCTATCTCTAGTCTCCATCCTTGAAGCTATTCAAAAGCCGTCTGGACACGGTCCTGGAAGACTGGCTTTTGGTGGCCCGGCCTGAGCAGGGAAATTAGACCAGATAGGCTCCAGAGGTCCCCTTCCAACCTCAACCATTCTGTGATCTCTTCATTTTTGAGCAGAGTGCTCTTGAGAGCACTTGGAAAACACCAGGATTCTGGTGCTTCCCAACCAAGCTGTCAGGATAGGCTCCAATGGCCCTGGTTTTGTAGGGATATCGGTGAGCCTGCAGTTTTCACCTCAGCACACATGTGGACTCCTGGGTAAGATACTCCAGTGAGGAAAGCCACCAGAAACACAAGCTGGACATGGCTAGTTAGAGCCAAGCAGAAGGGTGATCACAGAACCACAGAAGAGTTTGGGTCGGAAGGGACCTTTAAAGGTAATCTAGTCCAACCCCCCTGCAATGAATAGGGACATCTACCACTAGATCAGGTTGCTCAGAGCCCCGTCCAACCTGACCTTGAATGTTTCCAGGGATGGGGCATCTACCACCTCTCTGGGCAACCTGTTCCAGTGTTTCACCACCTGCACTGTAAAGAATTTCTTCCTTATACCTTGTCTAAATCTCCCCTCTTTTAGTTTAAAAGCATTAATCCTTGTCGTATCACAACAGGCCCTGCTGAAAAGTCTGCACCCAGCTTTCTTATAAGTCCCCTTTAAGTACTGAAAGGCCACAGTAAGGTCTCCTCAGAGCCTTCTCTTCTCCAGGCTGAACAGCCCCAACTCTCTCAGCCTTTCCTCACAGAAGGGTTCCTATCCTCTGACCATTTTTGTGGCCTCCTCTGGCCCCATTCCCAACAGCTCCAGGTCTGTCCTGTGCTGGGGGCTCCAGAGCTGGACGCAGGACTCCTGGTGGGGTCTCATCGGAGCGGAGCAGAGGGGCAGTTACCTCCCTCACCCTGCTGCCCACGCTGCTGGGGATGCAGCCCAGGGCACGGTTTGCCTTCTGGGCCGCGAGTGCACATTGCTGGGTCACATCCAGCTTTTCAACCCTCAGCACCCCCAAGCTCTTCTTGGCAAGACTGCTCTCCATCCCTTCATCCCCCAGCCTGTATTGGTACTGGGGGTTGCCCCCACCCAGCTGCAGGACCCTGCACTTGGCCTTGTTGAACCTCATGAGGTTCACATGGGCCCACTTCTCGAGTTTGTCCAGGTCCCTCTAGATGGCATCCTGTTCTTCTGGTGTGTCAACTGCACCACTCAGCTTGGTGTCATCTGCAAACTTGCTGAGCATGCACTCGATCCCACTGTCTAGGTCATTAGTGAAGATATTAAGCAGTACTGGTCCCAGTATGGACCCCTGAGGGACACCACTCATCACTGATCTCCATCTGAACATCGAGCCATTGACCATTACCTTCTGGATGTGACCATCCAACCAATTCCTCATCCACCAAACAAGTCCACCCATCAAATCCGTACCTCTCCAATTTAGAGAGAAGGATGTTGTGGGGGATTGTGTCAAAGGCCTTACAGAAGTCCAGATGGACAACATCTGTAGCTCTTCCCTTGTCCACTGGTGCAGTCACTCCATCATAGAAGGCCACTAAGTTGGTCAGGCAGGACTTGCCCTTGGTGAAGCCATGCTGGCTGTCTTGAATCACCTCCCTGTCCTTCATGTGCCTTAGCATAGCTTCTAGGAGGATCTGTTTCATGATCTTCCCAGGCACAGAAGGGAGGCTGACAGGTCAGTAGTGAAGAAGTGATGCTTCCTCATCACTTGACAGCCAGCTCCATGAGCCAACCCAACCCACTCTCAGTACCTACAGGCTCTTTCAAACGTGACCGTCAAGGGAAGTTTGGAGAAGTACTTCAGGTAGTACTTGTGTATCAGACAGCACTAGGCTGAGGCTACACAAACCAGGTGCAGCCTTCGAAGAGCTGCCCAGCTCTGCCCTCAGAGACCACTACTGTCCTCCCCATAAGGCAAACAGTAGTCCAGCAGGCATAACAGAACAGTCACTCACTTGTAAGAGAGCACATAATCTTTGATACTCTTTCATTCTCAGCAGTGACAGCCCACAGCAGCATGGCAGGCCTGAGGATCTTTATTTCACAATTATCAATGGTTAGAGGGATGAGTTACACACTGTTGCATCCATAGGTAGGCAGCAAATCATAGTAACAAAGTGGTACTCACTTTGGGTTTAATGACAGGATGTGAGACTGCACAGTTGTGTTCAAGGTACCGAGGCAACTCCAAAGGCTGGCAGTGAAAACAAGATACTAAACCTGGAAAAAAAAAACCTGACCCAACTAGGGCTTAGGAAAAAAAAAAAAACATTATCACAGAAAAAAAAAAAAAAAGAAAAGAGTTCAAACAGCAGCAAGTACTAATATCCCCAAAGGGGAATCAATAACATGAGCATGGACAGAACAGATAGGAGAGGGAGAAGCTCAGGGCTAGTCACAACCACAGCTGGACCAGATCACAACAACATATTTCACTACATGGAGCAACACGCCCTACACTTTTTCTGGTGTGTTAGTCTGTCCTCATCCCTTCCCAGCCAGCTCACAGCCCAGCAGTTAGTGACAGCACTGTGTGCAAATACAGACAGAGAGAGTGGTCCACAGCTCCCCACCCCTTGTAATCGACTAGTGTAATTCATCAGAGGCTTGGAAAGTCTAAGCCACACAATGCACATGAGAACAAAGACATGTGGAAGCTCTTGCCAACCACACAGCATTGCTTGGTGCCCTGCTTATGCAGCAGTCCCAGACAAGGTTACTGAAGTTGTGTCTCTGGATACACTGACCCTACCCTACAGAGGCCCACGTGGTAGTGAACCCCAGCACTCCTCAGGCTGGCCTGGACTCAGCCAGCATGTTGAAAACAAACAGGGAGACACTGGAAGTGCTGCAAGGGCTTGGACACTCCACAGAGAATTAATATGGCCTGTAGTTCCAGTAACTGGAGAAAACAGAGATCTGGAAAGCAAGAAGAAAAGCAGGTAAGTTCCTATATCGCTTGGGCCATAGAAGAAAGAGCATACAATGTATACGTGAAGATTGAGCTTCACAGCATTACACACTCCAGCACTGCACTGCAGAACGGCAGATTTGCTGCTATGGTCACTGACGAGGCTGGGAGCACAAAGTTACTTGCTCAAGGTGGCAGCCAGATCAGCTGCAGAACTGGAACTGAACATTGGTCTACTGGAATCCAGGTTGCTGAGGTCTCCATGACTCCTCTCCAGCATCCTGGCATTTTCTCACATCCAGTTCATGACTGAGAACGCAAAAGTGTCTACCTGCTCCTCTCCACCTAGTCACTGGTTCAGCAAACACATCTGCCACACTACTACACTTATCCCAGATGGCTGGCTGCTAGGCAATGCCAGCCAGCTCCCTGGCTCCAGAACAGTGACTCATTGCTTCTTTTCAGTTTATATGCAAGTTGAACAGAATAACATCACATCAGATTTTTAGGAGATCTGAGGTCCTCTCAAAATCCAGAGTTAAAAACAAAGCCCCTTCTCTAAGGCCATTACCTTGTCCTTCAGTTGCTGGCAAAGCTGCAGTGAAACTGTGAAGAAGACAAGGGCATCATTCAACCATGGCACAACACATTCCACTCTATGGACATGGCTGACTTCATACCGCTGGCTGCCAAACTCACTGGAGGAGAGGGGAAAAAGAGCACAGCTTCACCCACAACAGCACAGAACACAAAATTCAACTGTCCTCCATTCTTACAAGAGATCATTATGATTTCTTCTACATTTAAAACAGCACCTGACATAGTTACAGAATGCAAACTTTCAGTCTACCTCTCACCAGATTTAGAGTTAAGCTTAAGTTAAGGTAGAAACTTTATCAGAAAGGCACAAAGGCAGGAAATGCAGGTGGCAATGCCAATAACCCAGTGTTCATTTTGGTTGACAATTTTCATCTCTAGACAAACTCAAGGCACTGTGTGGGTGGGCTGTATCCTGAAAAGTCATATCTTTGGGCCTTCATGACCGAGCCACTAAAGAAACACTACTATGGGCACCTGTGCAGTCGCAGGCACAGCCACAGCAAGTGACTCAGTCCAGCTTTTCCACTTAACAGATGCTACAATCAAAACTGCTACAGCCATTTGGATCTCATTCTCAGCAGACTACTTACAACATGGCTCCAGGGTTGTGTAAAATGGACCCTCCAGAAGGCTTAAAGTTCTAGAGTAGAAGCAAAAGGTCATTAGGATTTTGACACAGTAAACAAAGTACTTAGAAGGAGGACGGTTAAGGTTTGTACTTTCAGTAGCCTGGCATCAAGAAATGCCTATACTGCATCTGCCTGATTACTCCATTCATACGGAATCCATGTCATTTGATCCCTTCCTGCTCCTTCAGGAAAAAAGTTCTACGCAGTGGCTGGGTCCAACTTAGCACCAAATTTTAGCACCACAAAAATAACACGAGAAGATCCAGAAAAAAAAGAGATAGATAGGTTTTAGGAAAAACATGCATACTGAATTTCATACAGCTTAAGAGTTTAATTCTGTTTTTACATCAAGCTGACCCACATGCAACAGGTGGAGCAGAAAAGTATCCATCAAAACTCAATTCAGAAACCCCAAGATGCTAGTTCAACGTAAACTGGGTTAATATAATTATGCCCTCCCAAAATTATACAAAATCAAACTATATTGTAACGCATTACTTGGCAAAAAAATAGTTACTGGCTTTCTCCAGAGCACTCACGTTTTCTTCTAAGTGGTCACACCCCAAACTAGACTGAGAGCCAGTGTTCTGTCTGCAGCAGATCTAAACACAGACACTTAACACCAGTTACAGTCATTTCCGTGTTATCTTATGCATGTAACATGGCACCCTGCAGCAGCGCGATCACCCCCTCACAGTGGGATGTAGGGATACGTAGACAAACAAGGCTCAGGAGATAGCAGGCATCACCTTTGTTGTGCTGGGCTGCAACACATGGAGTTGGTAGACAGTCAGGCACAGCTTATTCAGGTTAATATAGAAATTCACAAGGACGTCTGGAGGTAGAGCAGGGGTGAACATTTTCTGGTGAGAAAATAAGTAGTGTCTTTGTCAGTGAAAGGATCATTATTTCTACTGCTGGGAAATCACTACCTTTTTCTAAGCCATACTACAGTTACCCCATAGTGAGAGAGCCATTAGGAAAGAAACAAAGACTGAGCAGCTTGCAGGCAATGGTTGTTCCTCTTGCTGCACTTGATCAAATGGTGTGTGCATGATGGTGACAAAAGAGGGTGGAGCAGTGTCCACAAGGGCAAACCATTCCTCGACAAGCTTCCTGGGCAGAGAACAGAACTTACTCTCTGAGAACCAGAGTCGTCATGCCCAGGTCATCTGCTTTCCCATAGCAATATACAGAGCAGCCAAAAATGCTCAGGGTTTGCACCTCCTCCAGCTCTCTCTTTCTGTCTCAGGAGACATTTCAGAAATCCACTTCCACCAGGACACAGCACAATATCCTAACTGCTGCATGCAGACTGTATGGAGGTCTAGACCACTACATACTTACTGTGAGACCACTGGAGGCAATCTCTGGTAGAGTCAGAGTGGCTGGAGTGGTAAGCCGATTTCGGGCTCTTGAGAGCTGTAACATCACAGCATCCATAAGCTACAAGATAACATACAGTACGCTGCTGAGTGGCAGTCTCTGGACAGCTCTGGATAGCATGCTGCAGGATCCTACAGCTTTTTGCAAGTGTTAAAACCACAACCACCACCCTTGTCCTTCCAGGAATTCAGGGATTCATTGGGAAGGGGTGGCTCCCACATAAATGCAGTTTAACTGTTACCACTGTCACAGACACTGTCAGGCAGGCCAGGAGTGTTTAATGCCACAGACTGAAGAGTGAACAGCTATTCATTAGAAGAATAAGAAGAGAACATGATATCAATTACTGATGCCACAGAAGCATTGACAAACTCATCATCAGCTCTTCTGAAGAGCAAGCATTAAGATAGAACAAGCTGTGTTCTAGTTCTCCCCATTCCCACACCATAGGTACAACTACGGCAGAATGCCCCCACCCTATTCATAACCATCTATGAGCTAGGGCACTAGAGACAAGAACGAGTTCATTGTGAGTCCAGTCCTGCCAGAAACCACAGTTCAAAGGCTCTATCCAGGCAGACTTCCTTTTCCAGAAAAAAAGTGGGAAGCAAGATATGTCTGTTAGAGAGCTCATGGCTGCTAAGATGAAGGCATTTTATATTATAAATACAAATATTATATCTCCTCCCTACTTCCACCCAAAAGTCCAAAGGAAATATTTTTTTACCTAGCTTCTTTCTATTAGCAGCCCTTGCCCATGTGGAGACTAAAAAGGTTTAGCTTTCTCATGTGTGATATTGTGACGGATTCTAGTGAGTACGTTGAAACCGTGGTAGCTTCAGAGCGCATTTCCAAGCAGAAGCCTGGGCTTTATTGCCACACAGCAGCTGGTCTGTATCAGACCGCATCAACTACTACTAGCAAGTGAGAAGTCACTTTCAAAGCATCAGTAAATCACGAGTACTAACTGTAATCTTTTGCTTGCTGATGACTGCCTCATTTCTGACTGAAAGGGAAGAGTATGAGCTGTGTAAATACATCATCCAAAAAAGATCAAGGAAGATGCTCCCAGAATGTCATTGCTGTGCAACAGTGCACGGACTGCTCAGATTACCATTCACCATGATGTACGACCCTGTTGTTGTTGTTGCTAAACTGGTGTAGATCGATACCAAATATGAGGTCACGTGGATACTCCTTGACGCAGGTACAAACGAGTACAACTGGAGAATTCATTTCCACTATGAAACTCAAGACAGTAATGTGCATTAACTGTGTTTAAAACAACAAATGGAGAGAAGAAAAATGCATGTTCCTACCCAAGCAGAGAGGGCTTTCTCCTCACCTTGAGAACCTCTGAGCCTGTTTTGAACTGGTAGTTTACATCTCTGTTCATAAGCAGGTAAATGGCTTGGTTAACATGGTTTCTAGCATCCTGGATCTGCAAAGGTACAAAGGCAGCCAAATTAAAGAAACAATCTCCATAAAACACACTGGGAAGTAGGGGTTTCCCTGATTATCTTGTTGGCCCTAAGAAAATGGTGACTTCACAATTGTTAAGGCTATTTTTCTCTGACTACCAGACACACTACCACAAATCTACTGCTGCTGCCCAGATGCGTTATCGGGTTCTTCACTCAAGGACTGGAGATGCGAAACAGTCTGACAGTTACGACCTGGACTGTCAATAAAAATATTGCTGCTGCCATGAAGGAACAGTGACATCAGGCACTCTCATCCTGGGAGGGCTCTGGTCACGACTGTTCAGGTAGGAACTCTCACTGTTGATTGTATATGGCAGTCAGATCTAGCAACACGAGTAATTTCTTCCTTAGCAACTGTTTGAGCTAAAACCAACGACGTAAATTACACCAGTAGCAGCAGTGAGCAGCAAACATTGATTTCTAATACAGCATCTCTGGCAGTATTCCAGAGTCCTTCTAAACTGTAATTGTTGGGGTTGAGAGTTATCTCCAGCATCAAGAAGTTGCCATCATGCTGCCTGCGTGGAACTTGACCAGACGCAGGGGACAGCTAGCTTGAGTGCTTCTTAAGCAAGACTGCTTGCAGCCAGGAGACAATTATCAAAGCAAGATTGATAGGTGTATCCCAATGATTTCATGTGAGCAAGGACAAACCAGAGGAAGAAGAAAACGACCCTGGGAGAAAGTGACTTGTGTTCAGCTCCAGGCAGCAGCAGGAAAATCGGAAAGAATGCAAAGGAGTAAATCAGAGGGTGCAACAAATGGAAAAGGTAAGCAGGGAAGCCTGTATGAGAGGTGGCTGCTGGGAGAGGGATAACACAGCTTGGGATATTTGTAGTTTGATACATCTACACTGCTCCCCAGCAACCCAGATCCCAGTTCCGCCTCACAGAGGTCTCCCTAGCATAGACATGGGCATTGGTTCCTTCTCACCCGGAGCTCAGGGATCACAGAATAGCCCTGTTATTAGAAAGCACGAGGCACTGGAGGCTACAGAGAGAAGAGAGAGATAAAATGATTAAGTCCACTGTCAGACTGCAGAGAAACTCTGCAGGTACTTGGGCTATGGCATCTCCAGACATCACCACCTCCAGCTATTACATCTCACAGATGATTTTGAGCAAGCTAGCTGGTTCCTGGAAGTGTTACCCAACCCAGCAATGCCAATCCTGCTATTATAAGGACTTGCTTCATTCCCATTCCCCCCTGATTTTGTTATGTTTTCTAATCAAGTTCCTCAAAACTTGTGTGCCTGCAGTTGTGTTCCTCAAAAACGTGCCTATACTACAATTTCTTACCAATGCCTTTACTTTGCACAGAAAAACAACAATGGAACCACTCCCAAAGGGAAGAAAGTCACAATACTTCCAGATGCTCATTTTTAATTCAGACAGGACAAAGATCTCCACATAATCACTGTAAATGCTTCTGCACAGAGTCCTTCAGGCACTCACATTCCACATCTGAACAACATAAGAACACAAAACTCTTCCAAGTACATAAAAGAAGGTGTTTTCCATAAAAGCTAGTAGAAGCCTATCAACCAGGCAGCAGCACGAAACACCCACAAATACGATGCACTGCTGAGTGTTATCACAAAAAACTTCCTCGCCTTGTTGCGAGATGTAAACAAACTCAGTCAAGTTTGGCATTAACCCCTCAAGTACACAATTTTCTAGATTTCTGCAAAGTTACCAGGTAGACCTCTCACTCCGCTGCCAAAGCAGCCATTGGAAACTGCACCCAAGACGAAATGCACTGATCATTTAGAAGAATCTGAGCCATGGCTTAGTGAAGCACATGGAATGCGTCTTTCTCCAACCTACTCGGCTATGACAAAGTAACTGTGGGAAATTAAGTCTTCAAGATCAGGCGCTACGTCAGGTCCTGAAATCAGGTATCTCCCAGCAAAATGCTGGGAAGGAGATTCAATGTTCTGCATAGCCACATCCTTTTAACTCCTTAACCGAGGGAACTCAGCTATGCTACAAGAGCACAATGCAGTGAGATTTGTGCTCAGGGTAAAGAAATGCTTCCATAAGAGAACGAGAGCAAGCTACCCAAAGGCTCTGAAGTTGCTCTTTGCCCTGCTAGCCTGGGTTTTACAAGCAGACACAAGGCCAGTACTGCACAGGTACTCTAGACACTCCTTTTACAGGACTATGACTGCTATGCAGACAGCATTCAGCTTGCTGGTATTTCAAGAACAAGCAGAACCCACCTCTCTCTTAGCACCGTAACTGAATTCAATTGAATCTGTTTCCTCACTTAGCTTTTACTACCGGAGCTAACATGGGATAGACATAACCTTCTCTCTTGGAAAGCGAGGGGCTACAGCTACCGCTTGGAGGGCGCAGATGCCACAGAGGGGTAGACATCGAAAGTCAACAGTACCTGCTGCAATTTCCACTGCTTGTCTTCCCGAAATGCAAAGTGCAGCAGCTGATTATTTCTGGGCATTTTCAGATTAACGTCCTTGAAGAAAGAAACAAACACATGAGAGCAAGCAATCCCTATATGCAGAACATGCCAGTCCCACTCCATTCCGTCTCCCAGCTCATCTTGGCAAGCTGCTTTCAGCAGTCCTGGCACAGCCAGACCTTCAGTCCTCCTATATGTTAACACAAAGGATAAGGTGAAAGGCATTTAGTTAATCAAGATCCAGGCAGGACATACGACCTCATCTCAGAAGGCCCCCAAGGAAATTTGATATTACACAACACAGGCAGTAAAGGCAAGGAATCCCCACGAAAGCTGACTCCACCACTCACCACAGAGCATGTGGTGGGGGTGTTAGATGATGGATCTTGACATAATTCAACAGTTGGTGAAACATTAAGGTTTTAAGGCCTATTAGGGAAGATTGACAAGGAATACTTATTGATCCCTAGTTAATCATAATAAGGATGACCGCTCCCTTGAGGTCATCAAATTGTAATAAGGATGACTCACACCCCTTGATGGTAGTACAAACCAAGAAGCACAGCAAGTACTCACAGCTTGACACAGGGCATCTCCCTGCAGCGTCAACACACCTTTCACCTGGTCTGTGCTGGAATGGGAAGAAGGATCTGGGCAATACAAGTCACAGGAGACAAGATACACCCATGGAAACTGCCCACCCGACACCACCTGCCCTGTCCCATGCAGCTAGCCAAGCTCCCCTCCTTCCAGGGGTCAGCTGGGGGTGCAGATGAACTCCATGCACACTTTCAAGTCCCCAGCTCTCAGCCTGTGGCCAGCTGCTGTCATGTTCTTTATGAGCCACCTCACCCTCACGGCCCTGCCTAAAACATTACACTAATTTCTGCTCCCATGTTTAGTTCATGTATTACCTATCAACAGTTTGGCTGCTGATACAAACAGCTATAGCAGGCACAAACACAAGGTATTAGATGAATTACTGACATTGGAGTGCTACCTCAATCAAATGGGAGTTGAAAAGTACAAACCCCACCCTGCCCCCCCAAGAAGAAAAAAAAAAAAGTAAAAAACCAAACAAAAACACACCCCAAATCCTTTAAAAGGTCCTGCAAGATGGCTCACATCTACAGTGAACAGTGGAGGAAGACTGAAGAACCTGGGCCTTCAAGAACTCAGTTTAGCCATACCTGACATTTTTATGAACTAGAGAGAGACTCTGTAGATCAACATTTTTTAAGATCCACCTTGCAATAACAATGAATGAAAACTGGAATCATCTTTAATACTTTAAGACCTGAAGAATGCAACTTCAAACCCAATACAGAATCACTGCACCACTCTCTAAAATGCTCACCACACTGTTTCTAAGGTCTAAGGTCCTTCGCAACCAGTTTGCGACCTCTGCTAAAGTGTAACTATTCAAGATCAAGGCCTATAATAAAGATCAAAAAATGGACAGCTATTTCAGAACTGCACTTCTGTAGCACCTTCTGCACAAGTCTCAGTTTGCTCTGTAACAAGTAGATTTATTATTGGTGTTTCAGAGAGATTAGGACAAAGGTTAAGATTTGTCCATGGTCAGAGTCAGAAATTGAGCCAAGAGCAGAATTCAGGTCTTGTAACTGCAGTTCCCTGTGCCCAGAATCAGAAATTTGCCCTTTGCAAAACTGCCGAGAGCAGCACACAAATGCAACACACCAGCGTGTGGTCGGGAATAAAGGACTATATTACAGGTGTCAGTAGGAAATGGCACAAGTCCGGCTAAGGCAGCCCCTGGAACACGGCTACAGACTGTTACATTAACCTGTCAAGAGAGTTTGTTCCTTTGCTTTTGTTGAGGCGAAACCTCAGACTAAAGACGGCCCCGTTGCCCGGGGGTGCTGCAGGGGCCTTTGCCGCAGGGGCTCGGGGAGCAGCGCCCTTCGCTGCAGAGGGGAGCCCCCCCCGCAGCCCACCCACCGCCACGGCCACTCACCCCAACGTGCTCAGCACAAAGCTCTCCTGCTTGACAGCTGCCCCAGACCCACCGGCAGGCAGGGCGAACCGGTGAGAGGCCTCCTGCCCAAGAGAGGACATCGTGAGTGCTGGCGCAACCACCCAGCCCAGGAACAAAGACAAGGCAAGAGCAGAAATGCAAATGCTGGCAAGAGGTCGAACACTGAGTGGTCACTGGTAGCTCCAGACTGGTGATACTGGCTGGTGACTGTCCTTTAATCCCACTTTGTGCTTACAACTATAACAAATTCTTCAAAACAGATACTGTATGTACAGACACTGCAGGTTATTGTCACCTGCTACTGAGTCACATCCTGGGTCAGCGCTCCCGCACTCCCACCTCCTCTGGCACCTGCCCCCCACCTCCACGTTTTTGGCCCTTCTCTTGCACCACCCACTAACCTCCACCAAAACCTCAGAGCATTAAGGGGCTGGGCCTGTTTAAACCAACCTAACAGGAGAGCGGTGCACTCTGATGCACACAATACCCTTCGGCCAGTTCACCTGCCTGGAAAGAGCTGAACCCGGCAGCCCACACTCAGGCTGGGGAAAGGTGCCGCAGGCCTGGTTCAGCTGAACACTTCACACCTCTGAAAGGGGCAGGTACCACCAGAGAAGTGTCTGTGTTGAGGGAAGGATGGCTTTGAATAAGGAGAGTGCACACTGCTAATTACTGCACAAGTAGTAGCTTGTCAGCTAAAGGCTATCATGCCTGTTTCCACCATCACATGACAGAGTTACAGGCAGATCCATATTCTCTGCTCCAGAAAATATTCACATCTTGGGCAAATGCCTGGCAGACAGGTCTGGCTGCCTCCATGGGCCTTTTCAAAGCACCTCTCCCTCAGGAAAGAAGGTCAAGAACACAGTAACCTAGGAAAAGCCAGCTTTATTGCAAGTCCTCAAGACCAGAGGGCAAGCAAATACTTGGGACAGCACTGGACATATGTGATGGACCTTTCTGTGCAAACTCTACAAATAAATTTTTCCTCCAGGGAAATCTACCACGATTACTCACATGGGAAAGCAAACCAACCCACAACACAAAAAACAGACAAAGCAAATTAACCTTACCTTCAAAATATCCTGCAGCTGTTTCAAAACTGCATGGACCTCTTCTTGTAAAAGCCATTTAAATTCTTCTTCCTACGTTATGGAAAGATAGCAGTGGAATCATCAGAAGTCAAACAATGGAAATAAATCTCTCAGACACATATGAAAATTATTTAAGTATGCTGCTATGTCCATGCTGTTTAAATCACACGCTACTAGAAGAAGAAGATTTCTTCCTGATTTGTTGAAAGGCCTTACTCTCCACTTCTCCACCCCAGCCAAATGAATTGTCCTCAATCTTGTTTTGAATTTGTTCAACAAAGCAGCACTCAGACAAATCACTGTACTGATAATCACAGAATTAGGAAAGAACAGGCAGCACGGGATGAGAATTTCAGAGCAAAGTGCAGATCCTGCTGCTTCAAAACCTGCGGCATCTTTTTAAAGAGCTGGGGCAGCTGCCAGACACCCACCCAGCCTCTCCCACTTCCCCTCCTCAGCAGGATAGGGGGAGGAAATACGAGGAAAAGCTGGTGAGTGGAGATGTAGGGAGAATCCTTATCAATTACCCTCACAGGCAAAACAGACTCAACTTGGGGACAAATTTGTTACCACTTAGATGGGGAGAAACTGAGACAAAAACTAAAATGCTCCTCCTCCCCGCCACTGGCATTTTACCAAGTAGCAGCAGCCTACAAATAAAGCAAGCTAAACTGAAAAGCTGGTGGAGGGAGAGAAAGGTTGAGTACTCCTAATCATTTGAGCAAATTGAGATCTTATGACACACCGCCTCAGGCCTCAGTCAGT